ATAAAAACTCTCAGGCTTTCCACATCCAAGCAGTCACCATATGCTTCTGGTTTTTTCCTCTGTAGCTGCTACAGAATCCATCCTTTCCAGTATCATTTCTTCTGCTGAAACTGGCTTATGTCTCAAGTATCTCTGGCCTCCCTAATTCTTACACAGCTCCCCATAAGCCTATGCAAAGTTCCAGTGAAAACTGATTAAACTTTTGACTTGATACCTGCATTTGCTTTGTATAGCCTTCTACATAAAATAATATCTCAAAAACTCAAAGATATTTTCAGGATGAAACTGGTACAGAGAGAAAGAGAATCAATAGGGATAAGGTGGTGGGAAATGTGTTTAAAAAGGAAAAAAACTAAAATAGCTTATATACAGGAGTGAGATGAGAAATGAGGGGATAATAGCTAACATACCTAGAAGAAGAAACAGTTGTATCACAGAGACAGAGTAAGAAAAGACAGCTGTTATTGACTAGGCAAAATATAGCAAATGAGTTAAGATAAAAATAAGGAATGGAAGGGACTTCATTAAGGAAGGCAAACTATAAAAATCAAAGTATCAGAAAAAAAGAGGTGGACAAAGTATGCCCAAGGAGAAAGATAAACAGTGCCTACACCCCCAAAAATGGTAGTGTAGTCATGTTGGAAGGGAGGGACTTTACTTATCTATCTAGCTGTATTGAAAAGTAGGATAGCAAATTCAAGGTCTGCAGTACATTCCAAATGGTATCAACATTATTTTGTTTGGAAGGCTAAAAGGAAAAAGTAAACACTATAATTAGATTAGATATAAATCAACAGAAATTAACTGGTTGGAATCTTGGAAACTAGGTAACAGCTGGGCATCACTGATTGCAAAATGTGAGTGCTAGCACTAAGCAAGGGGAAGGATGAAGGCATGAAGAAAGAAGAATGGACTTGAAAAGGGGCAATCTTAATGCACATAGTTCCATAGAAAAAGAAACTGATAAGCAAAGGGGTCTGACTTTTCTACTGAAGACACCAGCAAATTCAAAGGGAAAACCGGAAAAAGGAGCAAAAGATCAATATAGTTTAACTATAACACAGTGGTGGGGAACCTAAGGCCTAGGGGCCATCTGGTTGAGGAGTCCAGGTTGGCACCACCCACAGGGCTGGAGAACACAAAATCAATTAGCCTGGTGTACGAGGGGAATTTCTCAGTTGGGGGCCACGTCAGTGAAGGGGTTATTTTTGTTTGGTTGGGTAGGGCTTTTGTGTGTGTGTGTGATACCTGAGTGACTTTTCTGTGAGTCAGCAGCCCCCAACCCAAAAAGGTTCCCCACCTCTATTATAACATTGAACAAATAAAAAATCCAAACCATGAGTACAAAAGTAAAAAAAGAGTGAATTTGAGGTGTTAATAAAGACATGGAGAGGCACAGTCAAGAAAAGAAAAGTAGACACAATTCACTCTATTATTCCAGCTCAAAGAATCCATGTCATGTAATCAGAGAATTGATGTAATTTCCCTGCCTAGATTTGCTGGTCTTCTTACGTTGATGCATGCTTTAATTTATAAACTCCTTTTGAATCTACAGTAATGTGAATAAAAATGCTCTTTGTAAAACAAAAAAAGGGAAGAGAAACTCTCTACTGAGGTTTGATTTTGAATCACTGACATTTACAGGTGTTTTGGTGGTCACTTTAATGGTGCAGGACTAGGCCCTTAGAGCAAAGAGATATGGGAGTAGATTCAATTCTCTTTCAATGTTTTGCTCTGTCCCTTTCACTCCAGTCAAGTCATTTATTCTGTTTTGCCTTCGTAATATAAGAAGCTAGATCTTGTATGTGACACTAATGAGGAGAGGGTTCAAAAGGTACTTATGTAGGGGTATAGTCTCTTTTTGAAAGAGATGCTTTATAAATCCCATTTAAAGTACAGTAAAGAATAGATCCCTTATAAAGAAAAAAAGCAGATATCGTCTTTTTATATACCAAAGTATAGTGAAGAATAGGCCCCTTGTAACTTAAAATCTGTGGTCTGGTTCAGTTTTAAAGACCACATGACATGACACATTATTGAGGGTAGAAGAATCCCCTAATCCAGAAAGAATGTGTAATATGCCCGACCTAAGGAAGACCTACTTGTCTTCCATATTATATACTGCCAAGATAAACTCTTGGATGCTTTTAGGCATTCCACTGATTTATTCACCTTGTCCTTAGTAGTAAGAATCACTGAAGTAGTGAGTGTGTATGGTCACTTATTTCATGTGTGAGAGTTCTAACTACTATGACTGAGTCCTTACTCACTTTTTTTGTCATCACACAATACAATACACACACATAGTCACCTATATGAAATGTAATGTGTTTTTGCAGAAGTGTTCATCATCTTGAAATATTAGGTCTGCAAACTATAAAGTTTATTTTAAAAGCAAACATGTGACCGTCTTAAAGCAAGTTCAAGCTTTAGAGACGTCCCTTAAACATGACAAGTGCACAATACCAAACCATTACCACCAGAAGATCACTTTTAAAGCACAACATATTTTTGAATTGTTTAAAACAGTTTTCAGTAGACACTTTGGGCCTACTTCTCACATCATTCTGGCAGAGTAAAGCAACCTTTAAGTGAGTGTAAATATATTTTATGGACACATTTAATATGACTGCCAAAAAACACAGAGTGAAATCCTGGTTCAGTAAAGGTCTATAACAAAGCTCCTCTTCACTTAACTGGGTCAGGTTTTCACTTCCATACTTAATTTTGTGTCCTTGTTTTCAATCCTTTGCTATCTCACTGGACAGTTCCTATTTCTATCGAAGACACTGATTTTGTCTTTCAAATATGACTGAACCTCTAAAGTTGTTATTCTCATAGATAACAAAAAACTGGAATTAATATTAACAAGTACTAAACTGTGAATAGGCTGATCCTTTATGTTAATAATGAAGGACGTTGCATTTATAAGAAGTAAAATGTGAGAAAATAAACTTTTTAATCTTTTCGAAGAGGAAGGAGGCAAACCTGGGTTATTTACTTTTATACGGCAAGAAATTTCAATGTAAGGCACTTTAGGAAAAGTAAATACTTGAGTCCATCATGCTTAAATTCGACACTTTACACTTGGGTCTGAATAAGGAATCTAATTACCTTACCTATTACAAAGATAGCTTCCCCAATTATCACCTCTAATATCATTAGCTCACAGACATTTAACTCCCCTCCCCCCTGTGTTCATTTTTTTTAATTGTATCCTTTGGTATATATGGTTGTGACAATTTTCTTCCACTATTTGATCTGAGGAAGTGGGTCTGGCCCACAAAAGCTCATCGCCTAATAAACCATCTTGTTAGTCTTTAAAGTGCTACATAGTCCTGTATTTTGTTTCAGCTACACCAGTCTAACACGGCTACATTTCTATCGTTTTCTTCTGAGCATCTCTAAATTCAGACCTTTCCCTCTATGACTTAAAGGATTTCCTTAATCTGGGTCTGATCCTGTGAGACATTAAGAAGGAAAAGTGGTACAGCTCGAAAAAAACTGTGGCCTATCAGAAATGCTGGCAGTTCTGTCCAAAATATCAGACCTGAAGTGGCAGAGCTGTTTGGTTATTCTTCATTCCATCACTGCACATAGCTGTAATATTATTCCAGTGGTGCATATTTGGAACTCCTCAAACATACTGAAGGGGGAAGAAGCCACACATATAATTCCATGGGTATTGCATAAATCTCACCCTGCTTTTGGACAATGGAGGAGTAGATGAAGGAATAAGGCACATTCCAGCTTGGATTAATTGTCTTTATCACTATTAGGATAAAAATAAGTTTCAGAAAGCTCACCACTGTTTATGGGAACACATCACAAGACATGTACTAGAATTATCACAGGAGTAGGATTAAAACCTGGACTGTAGAAGTCCTTATCTACAGGAGGAACTCTGATGGCTGGTAAACGGTGACTAAGCGGCAAATATTTCCTTGCCATAGGAATTTTTAAAGCATGTTTCCCCTTACTAAAAAGACTTGTTTGTAACCTTAAGAAGCCTTTCAAGAGGCAGTCTAGTCTAGTGATCAGTGCAAGGTACTTGGAGTCCTTGGTTCTAATTTTGAGCCTGCCACTGACTTGCTCTGTAATCCTGAAAAAATGATGTACAGTCTGCTCCTGCTGTCCTTATAATGAGTTGTACCTCAGCCTCCTTAAACACCATGGCAAAACTCTCACTGGCTTGAAAGGGGCCAAGATTCCA